ATCTTTGAAAAAGTGAAATGAATCAATAAACGAAAGGATATTTTTGCTGAAGCTGTCAAATATCTTACTTACTTACATACTTTATAAAATACTTGTCAAGTATCAAATTACTTGTAGTTGTTTAAATTAAACTGTAGGAAAACGTTGGAAATGTTTGTAAAAATTACTTGTTACTTGTCAAGTTTATACGTTTGTAAAGTTAGATTTGCTCACCCCAAGTCCAAGCATCCTGATGGCTGCTTGTCTTGACCACCTCCGACCACAGATCGGCCTTCAGCGATTCCAACCGTTGCTTGGAGATGGGCAAAGATTGTCTGGCCGTCGTCCACGTCGGAAAGTCCTTCTGCAGCACCTGCTGCGCTTTGGAATCTTCGAACCAGTAGACGTCCTCCAAGCTCGCCACCTCCAAACTGAGCAGCCTGCAAATACAAAGAAAAATCCTGCTGATGTTAAAGTTGTTATTTGTTGACAACTGACCTTGGATAATAGTTCTGCAGGTTGTGTTTGGTGAGCCACTGCCTGAGGACGAGGCGCTGCTGTAGAAGGGCGGCCGCCTTCTGCAGCCTCTGCTCATCGGGCGCGGGAAGTTCCGGAAGATCTCCCAATTGTCCGCACTGGGTCAACTGGGAAATACCTGCAATGCAAGAACAACATTGAAACTATGTAAACATTCATACATTCTTCAAAGGTACAAAAAAAAACCTCCAGTCTAGAATGTATAGAGTATATGTGTGTGTGTCATTGAAGATGAAGAAGAAAAATGGGTACCAAGGTTTCAGAAATAATAAATGATCGTGGAATTACTTAGCAAACAAATAAAATAACGAAGAAAACCGGCTGACCTTTGTGCGGATAATTTCAGTAGCGTGCAGAGTAGTTGTGAAACCGAATTTATAAATGGAAACAAATATATTGACCACTTTTCACTCTCTGTCTCTCTCTCTTAAAGCATTCGCATACACCTTTTTATCGAGATGGATGGAAATTCGATTAATATCATACACGAAGTCGTTACTTATGCATGCCTTCGCTGTGAGCGCCCTTTCCGAGTGTGTTACTACACGAAAATAGAAACCGGTAATTTGTTTGCCCAATCAATATTTCGAAACTGCTAAACGCAACTGTTCACTACTTCTTTGCACGACGACGACGACGACGAGAGAAAAACCATCAATTTTATGCTGCTTTACCCTCAAACACACACCCGTTTTCGACGTCGACGCAACAATATTTTATGCGGAAACTGAATCAATAATAAATTTATATACCGCACTCCCGGAATTATGATAGATGTCCCCACAATCAACGGATGCTGCACGTATGCAACATGTGTTGCACGATTGCCCCCCCAACCAATCGGCGACACGGTAAATGATATTGGGTTTCACTTTGATCTCAGCAAGCTGCCGCCGCCGCATACGAAATTCGCATCCTTCGACACTCAATAATTCAAATCAATGCATACGTTTCGTTGCAAATTGTCGTATTTTTTTAGTAATTATAGTTAAAAAAAAATAATATTTTCACTTTCAGGTAAAAACAATTTCTTACAATAGTAAAATTTTCTTTTACAATATTTTTTTTTTTTGATATTTTTGAAAATCGCATAAAGACGCATCCACACTATACTTGATCAATCGCCGGATTCAATAATATTCATCAGTAGAGATTTAATTTATTGACGTTGGTTTTACCAAAATTCTAAATTTTTTTTAATAAAAATACACTTAATAATTTATAGTCAAACTAAAGATAAATGTATGCAAATCAAAATAAACATACTTGCAAAAGTGTAATTTTATTGAAATTCACATCAAAATTGATGAATTCTGTCTCGTTTCAACAATTTTGAATGATCTTTGTTATTTCAACTAATTTCTTCAAAACTACTAAAGACATAATTAATACTTTATAGTTAAATTAAAGATAAATCTATAAAGATTAAAATAAACGTACTTGCAATAGTTTAACTTTATTGGAATTCACGTAATTGATGATTTTTGTCTCGTTTCAAAATTTATCAATGACCTTTGTTATTTCATCTAATTTCTTCAAAACTACCAAAGAGATTATGAACACTTTATAGTCAAATTAAAAATAAATCTACAAGTATTGAAACAAGTGCACTTTTATAAACATAACACTTTTGATATTCACGTAATTCACTGTCAAACTTGATACATGTTTTCGTTTACAACTTGTAATGTCTTTTGTTTTGAACGTATTTTCTCACAACTATTAGCGATAAAATGAACACTTTATAGTTAAATTAAAGATAAATCTATAAAGATTAAAATAAACATACTTGCAAAACTTTAACTTTATTGGAATTCACGTAATTGATGATTTTTGTCTAGTTTCAAAATTTATCAATGACCTTTGTTATTTCAACTAATTTCTTCAAAACTATTAAAGACATAATTAACACTTTATAGTCAAATTAAAGATAAATCTACAAATATTGAAACAAGTGCACTTTTATAAACATAACACTTTTGCTATTCACGTAATTCACCATCAAAATTGACATATGATTTCAGATTTGAATTTGTCAACGACTTTTGTTTCAATGCATTTCCTCAAAACTATTAACAACGATTTCGTATCCATTAATATGAAAAACGATCGCAGTCCATTACCGAATGATGGAGCGACCCTTCCTTCCTTCCCATGCCACAAAAGATTTATATTGAAATCCTGGCGACCGTTCAAAGTCCTGCGGGAGAAGAAAGCGAATTCGCGCGTTTTACTCAACATTAGTCCTTTTTTTTTTCGCCTCCATCCTTTCAACGTCATTCCATTTTGCTCTTTTCCCTATTGAATAGCTATTTATTTTCAAAGTCAATATAACAAAAAACACACACACAAACAGTTGTTGTAGCTAAATCGAAACATGTTTGATTGATTAATGGAACAATATATTTGTTTTCAAATCATCAATCAAGGTTACACCGAATTCAAAAGATATTACCGATATGTTAAGAGTCAATTTTCAAGTTTTTATATCAGATTTGACATTGACATTTGAATAACAATAATAAACGTCAATATCAAATTTGACAATTAACAGTAATAGGTTAATGTCAGATTTATTAGTGACATTTGGATAAGAATATTAAATGTCAATGGCAAATTTGATAATTAACAGCGATAGCTTAATGTCAGATTTTTTATTGACATTTGTATAAGAATAATAAATGTCAATGTCAAATATGACAATTAATACTAATAAGGTTATGATATATTTACTGTGAACATTGGATAAAAATAATAAATGTCAAATTTCACAATTAACATTTATAAGCTTTTGTCAAATTTACCGTTGACATTTGGATAAGAATATTAAATGTCAATGGCAAATTTGACAATTAACAGCGATAGGTTAATGTCAGATTTATTAGTGACATTTGTATAAGAATAATAAATGTCAATGTCAAATATGATAATTAACACTAATAAGGTTATGACATATTTACTGTGAACATTCGATAAAAATAATAAATGTCAATGTCAAATTTCACAATTAACATTTATAAGCTTTTGTCAAATTTACCGTTGACATCTAATAAATGTCAATATCAAATATGACAATTAACACTAATAAGGTTATGACATATTTACTGTGAACATTAGATAAAAATAGTAAATGTCAATGTCAAATTTGTCACTTAACAAGAATAGCTTAATGTCAAATTTACTGTTGATATTTGAATAAGAATAATAAATTTATATATCAAATATGACAATTAACATCACTAAGGTTATGTCATATTTACTGTTGATATTTAAATGTCAATTTCAAATTTGACAATTAACACTAACAAGGTTATGACATATTTACTGTGAACATTTGATAACAATAATAAATATCAATGTCAAATTTGACAAATAACAGTAATGACAATAACAGTAATAGATTAATGTCAGATTTATTATTGACATATGTATAAGAATAATAAATGTCAATGTCAAATATGACAATTAACACTAATAAGGTTATGACATATTTACTGTGAACATTAGATAAAAATAGTAAATGTCAATGTCAAATGTGACAATTAACAATAATAACTTAATGTCAGATTTACTGATATTTGATATTTGAATAAGAATAATAAATTTATATGTCAAATACGACAATTAACATTACTAAGGTTATGTCATATTTACTGTTGATATTTAAATGTCAATTTCAAATTTGACAATTAATAGTAATAGCTTAAAGTCAGATTTGTTATTGACATTTGTATAAGAATAATAAATGTCAATGTCAAATATGACAATTAACACTAATAAGGTTATGACATATTTACTGTGAACATTGGATAAAAATAATAAATGTCAAATTAGATCAATAAAACTGAGAAAAATAATGTATTTGCATTACGAATTATGGAATCAGTGATTTTGAGAACCATATTTTTGTGTAGACGAGATACGTATAAACAAAACCGGGATTAAGTGTGCGTGCAAATAAACAGAACAAATGTTTCCGAAATGAAGAAGGTGATAACTGTTCCGAAAATAAACGTATTTTTTGTTTGTTTTCGCTCTGTAAATGATAATACTCGTCTGTATTTGAAGTGGTGAGTAAACTATTTGGATCATTTTTGGGGAATGACGCACGTCTATTGTGTAGATTCATTGTCTTTGATTAATTAACGCGAATCTCGGGCCGGCGGATCCAAGAGTACTCATACAATTTTTTGGCACGAAGACCATCTAAATTCTGCACCAAAAACCGGAAACGAATCGATTGTTTGTGTATGCGCCGCAATCGTTTTTCACATGCAGCAAAAGTTCGCCAAACTCGGAAACGGTTTACAGCTGCTGCGAGGAAAGAAAGTTGCTTTTCACGAAAACCACACACAGTGTGGATAAAAAAAAAAGAAATATGAACATAAAAGTTTTTACCTTGCATTTCTTTCGCTAGATCACAAAGCGAAATTTTCTTTATTTTTACCCCCCACCAACCTTTTTCATCAGAGTTCATCCTTCAAGGATAAAAGAGGACATAAATTTCTCTCGTCCTTTTCTTTCTGTTCGTCGGAAAACGTTGGACCGTTGCCCTCCGAATTGGGCCTCGGAAGGTCGTCCCGATCGTAAATGGAAGAGGATGATAAAGAAGGAAAGAGCACGCGATCCGAATCGAGGTTTTGATTCCTATAAATATTACTCTGCATGTGAAAACGAAATACAAGTTTGTACACAAAGTGGATTGCATTTCAAAGTGCAAACTGTGGTCTTGAAGGTAATTGGAAAGAGAGTGAGAGAAAAACAAAATAAAGAAAGAAAACTAATTTATGCGTTTTCCTGATTTTTGCATAAAACACACGACATTTTTTTTTTGCACATTAATTATGATGATAAGTACCATTCATTATTTGTAATTAAAGTACAATTTTTTTTGCTAGATAATTGTGAAATATCATTAAAGACAAACTTAAATTATTTACGAAAAAACGTGCAAGTTCATGTAATTTTGAAACAATTACAGAGTTGCAACTAATGCAACATTGCCAGATTTGCTGCATTTAATGACATAATCAAATTTGACAATTAGCTTACGTCAATGTCAATAATTACAATTAGCATACGTCAATGTCAAATTTAACAATTAACTAATGTCGATAT